AATTAATATAATTTTAGTGATAAGACTTCCTCCCTCGAAGTTAATATTTATCTCTTGCTTTAACTTATTAAAATCATGGCAATAACTAGTCATTTAGCTGCAATATATTAGCTATGGTTAAAGATTGTAGCTAATTAATGTATTTAGCTAAAAATATTTTATTTACATGGCATATAGTATCATTATTAGCTACGAGTTTAACTACATAGCTACTATTAGTGCAATAGCTATAAAATGTTGAAATTTGTAGCTAATTAAGGTATTTAGCTATACAAATTTTATTTTCATGGTAGTAATAATATTATAGTATCATTATTAGCTACTAGTTTAAATATATAACTAGTATGTCTGTATTAGCTATAAATTATTTGAATTTATAGCAAATAAATAACGTGAAAATTAATTTGCTAAAATCCTTATAGTATGTAGCTATAGATATTCTAATTTATTCCGTGAGTAATTATATTTTTATTACTTATGAATTAAATAGTTATAGTGAAACATAGTGTTAATCACATTGCTAAGATCAATAGTAAATTAGAACCTTCAACCTATAGCTAACTTAAATGAACTCTTCAACGAGCTAAGAGGTGGGCTTTTGTAAAATAAAATTTTATTTTAAAGGGTCTTTGAGGTTTTTGTCTTTTCTATGATGATTATAAACTAACACTTTACGAAATATAGATGATTTTAGGTATGAGATATGAGATATTATAAAAATTGGTAATGTTACATATTTGTATATATGGACTTGTATGTATGTTTTAGATGGTGATGATGATGATAGCATTAATAATAGGGATAGACATTTTCCCCACCTCGTCGGGGACCCAACCTGAATGGGGCAGAGGTTCCTCGAATGGTTCAGGGATGGGACCAGGTCTGGGCCAAAATTCAATCCCCGAATTTGGGGACAGGGTTGGCCTTGCCCAACCCACTTCGCCACGCCCTATATATAATATAATATACTTTTTTATTAAAACATACATGAAGCTCTTTGACTCTTTGATAAGACTAGCACAAAATCATGATTTCTCAACCGCTAACACTACAATTATGAACAACTTGCAATTCGAAGCTTAACATCAAACATTTACAAATCAAATCAAGGCCTATAACCCTAAATAACAAAATTAAACAATACTCGCTAAAACATAAACAACACCAATTACTTCACATATAATATATTATTTTCTTTCCTAGTTAATAATTGGATTTATGGTAACACTTTTAAAATGTTATTTTATTTTGATTATATGGTAACATTATAAGAAAAACTACTATATTATGAGGTCTGTTATAACACTTTAAAAATGCTACTGTAGATATATATTAATAATTTTTTTTTTTAAAGTTACCATTGATATAAAATGTGTTACAAAAAGTTAAAGCATTAAATATAAAAATTGTTATCGTAACATTTTAACATCAAGTGTTACCATAGATAGTCTACAATAATACTTTAAGGAAAACTGTTACTGTCCATTGTTACTATAGGCCATTTTTGTTGTAGTGTTTATATCTCTCTTCATTCAAATTATCGTACTCATTCATGAATTAATAATTTCTATATATAATGAAAAAGAAATAAGTTAATTTATATTAAGAGCATGTTTTAATATACTGTATAGCTAGTAATTCTTTGAGAAATATATGATAAAATCCACTAAATAACTTTTATAAACATATACACATAATGTAAAATCCAAAAATTCTAATTTTAATTCATATAAATATATACACAAAATACTGATACACTTTAGTAAGCTCAAGGTAATCTTGAACAGTGCCGCCAAGCTCCTCCACTTTTTGACGTCCCACCCGGTTGTAAATCATCTAGTACCTGCAAAACAGTAAAATAACGGAGTGAGCACTAATTACTCAGTAAGTAAACCAAACTACACTACTGTGTTTCCTCCGTTACTCATGTTCTGATTTTCCTTTTCTCACTTTAATCCTTGATAATATTCTTCATTCTTTTCTAATATTATGCATTCTTTTCTGATACTCTGATTTGCTACTTATCAACGTGCAAAGACAATGAATAAAACTATACATCTTCGAGCACATAAGAAATACTGAATCATGTAAGTAGCATAATACATATGCAGAATAATAAACTTTACTGAGAAAAGAACTTTCTTTTCTTTTCTGTTATTTGTCTCTTATGCTGTATCTGTTTCTTTTCTTCTCTCTTTCTCTTTCTTTTCTTTCTTCTATTCTAGTTTGCCGATCGGACTAGTTTGATGCATGGATTTGGAACCCTGGCCATGTGAGTGGGTATAGTCCTCATCTACATACACTATTGACAGATTGTACAAATACTGTATCTCTCTGCTGATGCCACTCGCTCATGGCGACGTGTATGTAGGCATCTCTGTCACTCATGGGTTCCCCATCACAAAAACCTTATAACATAGCATGCTGTAGAAACGGAATAGAAAGAGATACTATACACATTTCAACATGAATTTCCAAGCTATAGAAATTCAACACTTGCATTTTTTAGTAAATGAGAAAATATACATACTTGCATGTTAGCTTAAAAGACAATTTCTAGTCATTTTCTTTTCTTTCTTTCTCATTCTTTGCTAACATATTCTTTCATATTCTCATTTACTAAATCAAGGCTATACATATATATCATGTGTACAATATATGCATGATCAAGCCCATTCCATAATATGCGTTCCAAATTCACATATACAAACTTGCAAATTCATTATGGCATAATGGTATGTCATGACATATTCTACCATTCTCTAGTATCACAATTGTCATATCAAAATAACACTTTAACTTGCAATTCATTCCTAACACTTTCATATGCTATTCAAAAAGTAGGAAAGGTTCAAGTAACTAGAACCAAACACTAAGGGTCATTTCTCTCATGGAACTAACATGACTAAGTGATATTTTAAATTTTGGCATAACAATATGCACCCTTGAATACTAACGTTTACATTTGGTTAAGCCCAAACATAATCTTCCTACTTCAATTCTTGCTTTTCTCTAATCCTTTCTTCATTGGGGTTTAACCAAATCATGCAAGCATTCTCTCTTTGGATTTTCATCAAACACTTTATATGCACATACAACTACCATGTTGGCTACACTTCCACAACTCTCTAATTCCACCAAATTGGGAGCCAAAAACTCACTAACTTTAGTATCAAACCTGGCCATTTTCAACAATTCTCTACACTTCAAAATTTCATCACTAATTCTTCCATAATTCCACCAATTCATCACATACTCATACATTACTTCTCATGGCTGGAAATTATACGTCATTAAACATAAAAATCAGCCAATAATTCTCTCATACCATCACATACAAACATACAAAAATTCATTTAACACAAGTCTTGCTCAAATCAAGGTTCAAATTAGGTTTACTTACCTTGAATGTGTGATATCACTTCCTTTTGCTAAAAATCTCTTCCTATTGGATCTAAATCATATAAAAACCATGAGAATTTAAAACTTTAAAGTTTAATCACACTCATTGTGCTAGAATCTTTCCTTAAGATGCTTTAGGATTGAAAATCTCCAAAAATCCAAACAAAATCCTATGATTTTCCTTTGAAATTTAGTGAAGAAAATTGAGAGAAAATGTGGTAAAGGTGGCATGAACAAGGGCTGAAGGTGTGTTACGGTTTCTTCAAATAAAGCCTTATATCAAATAATATAAACATGTATTCATATTTTTCCCTTGCACTTTCTATGAAATTTCATCTATGTCGTTTAGTCAATTACTAAAATACCCTCATTTTTATTATCTTCTTCATATTATTTTTCTTCCTTTCACTTCCCACTTTTTCATCTAATTAGGAGCGAAAAGACTATTTTACCCCTAATGAACTTTTGAGGAATTTTTTTCACATTTGTCTAAGGTAACTTCAAAGAAGTCCAACTAAGGGTATTAGGACATAAATAAAATTATGTACCTTGATATGGGTGTTAGACATGTACAAAAATAATCAATCCATTGAATACATAATGGAGCAATTACCTTTGAAAAGGTCAAAGTATGGTAAATTCTACAAAGCTGAGACTACCTTCCACCCAAAATAACAAATTAATAACTAGAAAAACAGAAATATAGAAATTTCTGCCAGGGGTCAAACAAAAGTATATGGGTACATGGCGGGTTAACATCCATTAAATTTTCTGAATCATGCTACATTAGCGGCTAATCCATGGTTTGATTGAGAGGATTGTCTAATACTTTGTTAGTCGGTTTAGAGGTATAGAAAAAACGAAAGAGAAAAGGAGAGGAAGGGATATAAAACAAGTGGGAAGAGAGGGGAAAAAAAAAAAGAGAGAGAGATTTCTTTCCTTTCCTCTCTTCACCTGCAGTAGGGGAAATTAAATTAATTATCTTCTTATGTCAATTACATAAATCAAATGTAATTTGGTACCAATATTTCTATCCATTTGAAGGTCAGGCTGCATCTTATGAGGTCTCTAAAGCAGGTACCACTCCTTTCACCTTCACTTACACTTCTATGTGAATCTTGATTTCAATGTAATTTGTTTGAAGGGACAGTTTTTAAGTAATTCTCATAAGCAAAATGAAAATGGGGTAAATTTGAACAATCTTATAAGTTTCGGTTGAAAGATTTCTGGATACCAATTAAGCGAGTTTAATTAATTTCTCTCATAATACAGAGTTTAATTGTTCAAATCATATGCTTATAACTTTTAATGACACAAAATTAGTTTCAACAGCATGCGTTGCTAAAAATAAAGTTCTAACCATTAAATCAGATATGTAGGTGTAGATATTTCACCAGTATTTTAAAGTAAATAAATAAATTTCTAATACATGCAAATAATACTACACATAAGAGCAGGTTTCATTTTCATATCATTTATCACTCTTCCTTTTTAATTTTCACATCATACGTCAATTTACCATATTATATTTTCAATTAAAGGCTAACTGATATGTATTGTAGGTTTCTTAAAATAAAGAGCAGGTTGTGAACTGATAGATGGCTCCAAGCAAGTTAAAGAAAGCCATTGGGGCAGTGAAGGACAGGACAAGCATTAGCCTAGCGAAAGTGGGTAACAAGAACTCACTGTCGGATCTTGAAGTGGCAATTCTGAAGGCAACAAGACATGAAGAGTACCCAGCTGAGGATAAACACATAAGAGAAATACTTAGCTTAACTTCATATTCTCGTGCTTACATTGGTGCATGTGTTAGCATAATCTCCAAACGCTTAAACAAGACCAAAAATTGGACAGTTGCGTTAAAGACACTTATGTTAATCCAACGCCTACTTGCTGACGGTGATCCTGCATATGAGCAAGAGATTTTCTTCTCAACTAGGCGTGGTACTCGACTTCTCAACATGTCAGATTTCAGAGACACCTCACGTTCTAATTCATGGGATTTCTCAGCATTTGTCCGGACTTATGCATTGTATCTTGATGAACTACTAGAGTTCAGGATGCAAGGTCGGCGTGGGAAGCGTAGCATGTTTGGAATTGATGAAGATGAAGAAGAGGTTGGGTCATCCTATGCAAAGTCAACACCAGTTCGTGACATGAAAAGTGACAGCATATTTTCAAGGATACAACATTTACAACAGGTTCTAGAGCGCTTTTTAGCTTGCCGGCCAACAGGTAATTTGTATATTATTTTTATTGCATTATTATTATTTTGAGGAGACTTATTTTATAAATTAGAAGAAAAAACGACTCAAGTTTTATTTGTATATAAATTAATATTTTTTATTATTCAAATGATAGTTTTTAAAATGTTTCTGTAAACGAGTGGATTTATTAATAAAAAGTGTAAAACATTGTCCATTGATTAATTCAAATGAAATTTGTGTTCCTTTTCTTTTAGTTTTTAAAATAACTGTTGTCCAATATAATAACTCTATTTCTATTTAACCTTAATTGTCTGTGTTTTTATTTTTTTCAGCCACATGCATATTCCAATATTAATCTTTTTTCTAGTTCCTTATTAAACATAACTATGACATAACCCAAGAAAGGTGAAAAAGTGTTTGATTTGATGTGGAACAGGTTCAGCAAAGAGTAACAGGGTAGTGATTGTTGCTCTGTACCCAGTGGTGAAAGAAAGTTTCCACATATATTATGACATAACAGAAATATTGGGTATTCTGATAGACCGTTTCATGGAGCTAGAGATTAATGACTCCGTTAAGGTATATGAGATCTTTTGTCGTATCTCAAAGCAATATGATGAGCTTGATTTGTTTTACGGCTGGTGCAAAACGGTTGGAATTGCACGCTCTTCTGAATACCCTGAAGTTGAGAAAATAACACCAAAAAAGCTTGAACTAATGGACGAGTTTATACGTGACAAGTCTGCATTGGCACAAAATAAAAAGCCGATGAGTCCAGAATTGAAAAATCATGAACAAGAAGAAGCTGAAAAGGAAGCGGAAACAACAACAGAAGAAAAAGAAAATATGGATACTATAAAAGCAGAAAATATGGATACTATAAAAGCCCTACCATCGCCAGAGAGTTTCTACTGTGAGTTCCCTGATGAAACAGAAGAACCGAAAGAAAAAGAAAAACAGATTATTAAAGAAGAGAAAAATAAAGCGCAATTAGAAGGTGACCTGTTGAACTTAGCTAACGATTCAGTAACAACAGAAGAACACGGTGATAAATTGGCTTTAGCATTATTTGATGGAAATGCACCCTTTGGTCCTGCACCGCCTCCAGGATGGGAAGCCTTCCATGAGGATACAGCAGACTGGGAAACAGCTTTGGTTCAATCAGCAAGCAATTTGTCGCATCAACAAGCCTCACTTGGGGGTGATTTCGATATGTTGTTATTGGATGGAATGTATCAACAAGGTACAACAGCGGCGGCAATGGTGGCTAGTCCAGCAACAGGGAGTTCAAGTAGTGTTGCACTTGGGTCAATAGGAAGGCCGGCAATGTTAGCACTGCCTGCAACTCCATCAACAACGCAAGGTACCCAAAGTAATGCAGATCCATTTGAAGCATCAGATGCGGTGGCACCACCACCATACGTACAAATGTCAGATCTTGAAAAGAAGCAAAAGCTTTTGGTGGAAGAACAACTAATGTGGCAACAGTATGCAAGAGATGGAATGCAAGGGCAGCTTGGAATGGCTAAATTACAACCCAATTCTTGGAACATGGGAGGCTACACACCGGGCTAGTAACTAATGAAACAATTACGTAGGGTTCATATGCTTTTTTTTTTTTTTTTTTTAAATTCTGGCTAGGACTACATGATGCATTAAAAAGTAAAGAAGAAATTGAAACGTTAATAGTTTTTTAACCTCTAGTAGGCAGAGTGCATCTGTTTGACAGGAGAAGTGCATGTATTGTTATGAAAATGCCACATGGATATTTCATATAAATATTATGTATATAGTGTCAGTGCACCTTTGAGAAATACTAAAAACCCATATGCTAAACTCTCTGCTGGTTTGAAAATCTGTCATTATATATTAGTCTATTTGAATATACATGCGATCATGTAGGTTTTTCCTTTTCCATGTTTGTATTCATTCCTATTAACTATCAATTACTCCATTGTATTTCTTCATGTGGTCCAATCAATATGTTTTCCATTTAATTAGTAGCGTATATTCAACAACATGAGAGGTTGCTACTAAATTTAAAAGCCTTAATGACACTTACATTACATCCCTTAAACTTGGAAGCTACACGAACTATCAAAAAGTTTCGAAACTATTATTTTCACCTTAGCGGGGCTACCGCAGTGAGTTGAATTAGTCAATGTATGCGTAAACTTGCTCAAACACCTCAATTATTAAAAAAAAAAAAAAAATGAGTTTCTTTAAGAGACCCCTCTTAATAGAATAGTACTTTCATTGACACTTTTATGGACTGTGAATAAATTAAAACACTTTTTCAGGTCTTGACATTCATGTGATAATCTTGAATTTTAAGAATTTCTAAACCGAAAAAAAAAAGTTGTAGGGTAAACAAACCTTCTATCAAACAAAATATTCTCTCTTCACTCCCTACTTAATAGTGCCTCCATTCAGCCTCCTCTTCTTTTCAACTTTCTCCTTCAATTTAGTATTTGATTCAACAAATTTCTAGTTTCAAAAGCTTAATTCTCAAAACTAAACCCCAAACCGAAACTACCTTTTAACCCGTATTGGGGATATTGTGTTTTTGAACCTCCTAGCAAACAAAACATTCTATCTTCATTCCCCACTCAATATTGCCTCCACTCAGCCTTAGATCTCTTCATTTTCAATTTTCTCCTTCGATCTAGTATTTGATTCAACAAATTTTCAGTTTGAAAAGCTTTAATCTCAAAACTAAACCCCAAACCGAAGGTAATTTTAACCCGTACTTGTGATTTAGCCTTTTTTTTTTTTTTCACATTCCAACATCAATAATCTATCAAAGGGAAAAGAAATTGAAGATTGAATCCTATATCATGTTGTATGACCTTCTCGAAAGATAGTGACAGATCTCACATGTCAAGCTTGCCGGCATCAACCTAATGTAAAGCATGGGTGCTTGCTTGTGCAAGTCCGTTGGACTAACCCATCAAAGGATTTCATACAAGATGGTAAACCTAGTGTCTATGGAATACATCCCCTTACAGATGATGGTGCATGTGGTCCTTTAACTTGAGATCACCAGAGTGCTATGTGTAAATATCAATATGATTTTACACTAGCCTAATGTCGTCTCTTTTTGGGATTACCAGAATGGTAATGATTGGTTACATCGAGAAGTACACTATGACTATTGTGGATCAACAAATGATTCATCACTCCTGGTTACAAGAGATTTTATCTCGGCAAAATATGTGGCTAAGAACTACGACCTCAAAACCATGGCCACGGTGGAATCAAGTTGGTGCTCAAATCCAATTTTATATAGTCGTAGATTCGACAACTAAATATAAACATGTCAAGGTCAATATTTGAAGTAGACACAATTTATGTACTTCAAACCTTGATGAGATATAAGATGATGAAATAGATTGAATTGCACAGTAACCATACAATAGGAAAGGTAAGCCTCAATTGTTGATTCTTTATTTACCGGGGAATCATGATGCCTTGCTAGAGGTCAATCTTGATTGGTGTACGAAAACACTAATTGGTTGATATTTAATTAGTTATCGGGACACTGTCGGCAAAATAAAGAGCCTTCAGGCCACACACATAGAGCGTAGTTAAGTGAGAATCATAAATGGAAGGACAATTTTGTCCTTGGCCTGAAAAGGGTATTTCAGTAATTTGGGAGTCCAAGTTCATTTTCGTCATTTTGGGCAAAAATGCCACTTTGGTAATTTTGCTAGGGTTGATGCCATTATCCAATATTTATATTGGAAGAATTTTAGCAAAATTGCATTCATATTAATATGAAGTAATATATTTAATTTAAATTAAATTTATTAAAACCCATATATTAAACATGAAAAATATATATAAATATATATGGATTAAATAAATAGTAATATTTATTTAATTAGAATATGTATTTATATAGGAATTAAATAAATAGGGATATTTATTTAATTAGGATTCATATTTGAGGAGAATATCTTTAAGAGATTCTAATTTCTTTTATTAAGGATTGCAATCCAATCCAAATAGGAATTAAAGGATTCACAATCCTAATTGAATTCTTATTTGGGATTGCACTATATAAAGGATCATTGGGTTTTTATTTGCAACACAATTAAAACACAATTTTCATAAGTTGTTTTTTGCAAAGTTGAGAGCAAAAATAACTCTTCCAAATAAATCCTAGCCGCCAACCCTAGAGAGAGAAATTCTCTCTCTATTTGCACCACCTCCCTTAAGCACTTACGTTGATCTAGCAATCAATCTAAGTGTGATCTCGTCCCTACTTTCGTGTGAATATCATCATGCTTGACTCTATTTTGGGTCGATAGCGAAGTCACAAAGAAATCCAATGAAAGAGCCGCCAACGAGAGGTAAAAATTAAAACTTATATGGTTAGGAATATCGTATTGTGATCTTTGGTAATGGGTAGTGGCATAGCAAGAAAAAAACTTTGTTATTCCGCACTTGCTACAACCTTATTCCCTACAAGAGCTGAGGTTGGAGCAGGCGAGGTCATGTCCTTGATCACAGGCTTCTCCTCCACCTCATCCTTGCCACCCTAGTCTTTGTTGGACTTGGAGCTGCCCAAATAGACAAACTCCAAGCCCGCTGTCTCGACCTTCATTCTCTCTACCTTTGTTTCATATTCTGGAGGAAGAAAGGAATAGTCAAGTAAAGGATGGGCCTCCCACAAGTGCACAATGTCCTCCGTGTTGGATCAAGAAGACATACGTATCCCAGCCATGTTGCACGACGTCCTCTGTCAGATAAGCGACGTTCGATGCAGCCTCCTTATAGTCTACTGAAGCTCTATAGTCCGAGTGGACAACTCTTTATCCAACTTTCCAACCTTGGCATAAGCATCAGCAAGCTTGGAAACCAGCTTGTTGTTGGCACCCAGTTGCTGCATCAGGTCTTTGGTTGATTTCTCCCCAGCAACCTAGACTTAAAAGAGTTTGCTTGCAAACTCCCTCTTCTTGATAGCCAAGGCCTTGGCTTGTTTTTTCTTCAACTAATTAAGCTTGTCCCTCAATGCCTCATTTTCCTCCTCCAACTCCCTGGCCCTCGCTAAGGCCTCTTCCTTGGACTTCTCTACTTCTTTTTAGGCATTGTCTGAGTCTTAGAGCGTCGGGAGGCTCTTGCGATAAAGGAGCTAGGACATCATTCAAGCCTGAAAGAAATAAAGAGTACGGTTAACTCTAAAAAAGGAAGATAGTCAAAAGGGAGGAAAAAATGAGATACGTTACCTTGGTGGCCATGCTCGTAGTAAAAGAGAGCAACTCATAGGGGGGCCACATATTGTATTGCTCTTAGAAACTCGCAGTCAGCGCCTGCCTCACCACGTTTGCGCCTACACTGAGATGCTTTGGAAGCTCGTCGATCAGCCTGTTAATCTTAGCTTCGAGCTCAGCCTCCCCTTGCTCTTCATCGCACTATTGCGACAAGATTCTTCTCTTACTCACTTGCTTGGGGGCCTTAACTGTCAGAGCTGGCTTCATTGATCGAGCCCTTCACTAAGGCACAAGGCTCTGCCAGCACCTTCTTCAAGCCTCCTGTAGGCTTGATAGCTTTCTTTTTTGAGCCCTCCACTGGCTCGACCATCTTTTTCTTCGAGCCCTCCACTGGCTTGGGAACGTTCTTCTTTACAACCACCTTGGTGGTAGTTGTTGGCTTCTTTGAGCTCGGAGCCCCTTCAAGCTCGCCCTCTATCCTCTTTACTGAGGGTCACGAGGTTCTAACTCCTACTAGTTTGGCAGTAGCCTTAGGCTCCTTCTTCACGGCAGCGCGGGCTGCCATCTTCTTCTTCAAGTTCTGAGGCTTCTTGGCCCACATATCTACAAGAACAACGACAATGTCAGCATCTAATGAAGAAGAATATGAAAAGGTGAGCTACTCCACAATTACCTTCGTCAAATATTGTTGAGAAGTTAGCCGAATCTGGGAGAAATCCAAATGCTTTCAACTGAGGAAGTGTGATTAGTTTCATCGCATCACAACAACACTCAGGAAAGTTGTTGAAAGCCCACAACCGACTCCTATGGTCTATGACGACATAGGTTTACTCGATGTTCTCTGCAAAAGGAGACTAGAACAGTTACAAGTCGACCAATAAATACTTAACTATAACAAAGAGGCAGAATATCCATAGGCTTGTCGGCAAAAGAAACATCACCCCTAGAATGATAGAAAAAATATTTTAAATCCTAGTTTCCGAGCTTCTTAGGGACATTGACCAACCCATCCAAATGAGTCTTTCTCGCTTTGGAGAGGTAGAAAGTCTCGTCTTGACCTTTCTTTAGTTTGTACAGATGGACAAGCTCCTCTACAGATAGCTTGCCTATTTTGTATAAGTTGTAGGCAATGTACATGCCAAATAAATTAAAAAAGCAGGGTATTTTTTTTTTTTTTTCTTAAAACCGGTTTAATATTGCACTTAAACCATTAACCGAATCGGAAAATCGGTTTGGTTATTTTTGAAAATCGAAACCAAACCGGTTTTTTGGTTTGGTTTCCTGGTTCAGTTTAGTTCGGTTTGATTTTTGGTTTTTTTTTTTGGCAACCCTACTCATGATCTCATAAAATACATTTAT